CTATTTTCTTTGACGATTTGGTTCCCTTGGTTGCTTATTTCTCCTCTTTTATCAACCTATTCAAAAAAATTACATTCTTTATTTGGGTATTTCGCAGACCCCCAATAACACCTCCCCTTATTTTTACCATTCTTGCACATTTTTATGGGTGTTCAGAGATTGCAGTCGCACCAAACTTCAAAATTTTTGGGCCATTCTTCTGATATCATGTTGATGTCGGGAGGCAAATTGCAAACTATGACAATTTATAAAAGTGGTGAGAATAAAAGATGCATTGGCATTATAAACCCTTAAGCCAAAATTATAGCCTCCAAGTTTGTGGAACTAGCCGTTGCTACAGTGTTTCGGTTTTGAATATTTTCAAATGGGTAAGAATAATTATGGTATACAAGCCGTTGGAACTAGCCGTTGGAACTCACCCTTTATCCTAAAATTTTATCACTCCAAACCAAACTAAAGATTAGGAATTGGAGGGTTTTTATAAAGTTGGATTCCATCTTTTCATGTTATGAAATAAACATAGAAAGAAAAAAGGATTCCATGATTCTATAAATTTGTCTTAAAATTTTTTATGGAATATGTAGAAATCTATAAAAAAACTGGATTCCTAATCCTATAATGAGTATTCTATTAGTTCTATCATATTTAATGGTCATTAATAACACCATCTAACAAAAGGAATGGATTAGCATGGCAAATGTTAGGGACTAATAAGCAAATAATTAGATCAGAGACTATTTCACAATCCACTCCTCTATACAAATGGGAGAACTCAAGATTCACTTTTCATGATACAGTAAATGTTACAGTGGATTTACTGTAGCACTATTATCGCAGCAAACATGGAAACAGACACTGTAGCATTTTTTTTGGAAAATTATTATTGTAGCACACGTGGATACTGTAGCTTTTTTACAAAACTGTAGCAGAGACGAGAAATGTAGCAATCAAAAATTAAAAAAATACTGAAAGTACCCTAGAGGGGGGGAGGGGGTGAATAGGGTTATTGCTAATTAGATATTAATGCCGATTAAAATTAATTAACAAATATATCTTAATAATGATGATATTCAATAAGATATATGCAAGGAGATATATGCAAATGAAAAAATAAACAAGAAACAATATAAATAAATAGTGGACACAAAGAGCAATCCAAACACATTAATATGATCACGGAGTTCGGACCTTCCGTCCTACGTCTCCGCTCCCCACTCCCGGGGAGAACTCCATTATCGACACACCCGTTTTGGAAGCCGGAACTTCTCTACACACTCGGTTTTCTAGCTCACCAAAAACTCTACAAATCTCTTACAATATACATACACAAACTACAACCTTAAGTGTTGGTCCTCACGTATCGCCTCCCTCAAGTGCTCGGCTTTACTACCTCTCTTTAGGCTTTACTACCGACGCCACTTCTCTTGGTATCGACTACGTCCTTATCACACACTCTTCTTGGTGTAAATGCGTATTACAAAATGATACTTTCACAATAAGGCTCAATTACAAGATTTTGTTCTCTACAATAGGTGAGAACACAATTAGGCTCACTCTCAAGGTTACACTCACCACAATCCCAAATTATACAATATGTGAAAATAGTTAAGCTCAATGGTTGTGTGTGCAAGCAATGAGAAAATAAAATTAAATATAAACTCAAATAAATCTAGCAAATATGACTATAACAATTAAAGCATAAACAAGCTAGAGATGTGAGTTTAGAAACACTTCTCTAATAATAAGAGAGAGGGATTGGAAGATTAAGCCCAAACTGAAATTGACCTCCTCTTCTTGTAAAACAATCTTCACCAAAACTGATTTTGTAAACAAACACTTAAAACAAACTAAAACTCTTTTTAAACTTATTTTAAAACATTCTCTTCTTAGTTCAGAAGTGAAATGATATAGGGTATATATAGGATGAAGAAATAAAGCTCAAAACCCAAGTGAAATCCAGCAAAAAGACAAAAAGACAAAAACTAGAAATATAGCCGTTACAGGTCATCAGTCGACTGACGAGTTGGATCAGTCGACTGATGAGCTGACCGTTATAGACAGCTAACAGCTCATCGGTCGGCTGATGAGCATGGTCAGTCGACTGATAACCTCATAAGTCGACTGGTCAGTCGACCAAAACGAAACATAAACTTTTGATGATTGCAGGCAGTTTCATCAGTCGACTGATACAAACCATCAGTCGACTGATAACAGGTTGTCAACCTGGATTGAATAGTAAAAATGAAATTCGTCACTCCTCTTGGTATCGACTACGTCCTCACCACACACTCCTCTTGGTGTAAATGTGTATTACAATGTGAACTCTCATAATAAGGCTCAAATACAAGATTTTGTTCTCTACAATAGGTGAGAACACAATTAGGCTCACTCTCAAGGTTACACTCACCACAATCCCAAATTATACAATATGTGAAAATAGTTAAGCTCAATGGTTGTGTGTGCAAGCAATGAGAAAATAAAATTAAATATAAACTCAAATAAATCTAGCAAATATGACTATAACAATTAAAGCATAAACAAGCTAGAGATGTGAGTTTAGAAACACTTCTCTAATAATAAGAGAGAGGGATTGGAAGATTAAGCCCAAACTGAAATTGACCTCCTCTTCTTGTAAAACAATCTTCACCAAAACTGATTTTGTAAACAAACACTTAAAACAAACTAAAACTCTTTTTAAACTTATTTTAAAACATTCTCTTCTTAGTTCAGAAGTGAAATGATATAGGGTATATATAGGATGAAGAAATAAAGCTCAAAACCCAAGTGAAATCCAGCAAAAAGACAAAAAGACAAAAACTAGAAATATAGCCGTTACAGGTCATCAGTCGACTGACGAGTTGGATCAGTCGACTGATGAGCTGACCGTTATAGACAGCTAACAGCTCATCGGTCGGCTGATGAGCATGGTCAGTCGACTGATAACCTCATAAGTCGACTGGTCAGTCGACCAAAACGAAACATAAACTTTTGATGATTGCAGGCAGTTTCATCAGTCGACTGATACAAACCATCAGTCGACTGATAACAGGTTGTCAACCTGGATTGAATAGTAAAAATGAAATTCAAACCTCTTTTAAAAACATCAAATAAATTCAAAAAAATATAAAACTTTGGGAAATGATTGTAAACATGATAATGAACATGTTACAAAAAGAATTTTTTAATTTGCATTCCCCATTTGTAAAATCTTATCATTTTACAAAATCACATAAGTATGAATATATTGAAAACTTGATTTTGCCAGAATGACTTAAACAAAACTTTAAAACACTTTAGAATGGATTTATAGACTTATACAAGATATGAAGATAGTGTAAATAAGTCTTCAATCCATAAACATAATATTTTGCAAATTCAATAGAATATGAAGCATATAAATGTGAAAATGAAGATATATATTGCTTCATATCTATATAGCTAAAACAAAACAACTTGTACACATAGAAAACAAATAAGTATTATATATCTATTTGTTTGCAAAAACGTTTGTGGATAAAACACATAAACCATTAAATTGTGTGTGTATAATATCGAGCTTAAGGTATTAACACACAAATTATAAACCCTAAACTAATTTACCCAAGCTTGATAGATCTTCATTATGCTTGACTTGGTTAACATGGAAGAAGCTTGAACTTGGATCTTGACTAGTATGCATAGGCTTCATTCCACTATTCCGCCAATCCGCCATTTGATGTGATCGTGTAGGCTCAATCCATCCAACCTCCAACATATTGTTTGTCTAAAATATCTAATAAGAAAATATAAACACTAAATAAACAATATTAGGAATTATTTGTCATCATTAAAACAAGATTAGAAGATATAGGCTCATAACATGAGACCTAACAAATACTGTAGTATTTAAAAATCGAGATTGTTGTAGTGCTTTGTACGGTGTTCACGAACCAGTTAAAAGTAATGTAAGGAACCAATATGCAATTAGGAAATCTTTTTCCCTCTCCAAAACCTCCGGTTTTGACAGAATCTCAATTAAACCGCAATTAAAAGGTGGCGGAGGAAGAGAGAAAGAGGGCTAGGGTTACAATCACCGCGCCCTCTCCCTCTCATCTCATCGTTCGCTCCTTTTTCTCTCGCTCTCTCATGGTGGAAAATGGATATTAATTAACGTGAACTCTCCGTCTCCCTCGTATTTCTCTCCTTCTTGCCTTCGGTAAAATCGCGTGCTAGGGTTTCTGTTTACTCGAATTCTCAGGTAAAATTCGTGTTCTTTATCTTTATTTAAACGAAGTTCTTTATATTTTCTGTTGTTGGGTTGAATTGTCTTGCGAAATTCCTTATACCTTTATTTACACGAAAGAGGGCTGTTGCTGTTTAAAGCTCCGAGCATCCCTATCGAATCTCAAGTTATCTCTTTCTCTCTCTCTTCGATCAATGGCAAATAATTTTGCCGTTTCCCCTGAAATTTGAGCTCAATATCATAACTAGGGTTTTCGTTTTCGACCCATAAACCCTAACAATAAAAGTGGTTAGGGTTTAGGGTTCTCTCTATTTCCTCTTGTGAGTTGTTGAAATTTTAGAACTTTCTCATTTCCGATCAGTTTATGTTTAATGAAGTTGTGTTTCCAGTACAAATGTTTAGTATGTCCACCATTTTGTTGGAAAATGAATATTTTATTTATTTATTTATTTTTCGATGACGGAAATCCTAAACTAGCACTTGGTAGCAAACATTCAGTGTTTCTGTGATGCTGGAATAAGGATTACTAGGTTTTGCGAAGGCCATGTTCTATTGGATATGACATTTTTGTTTTCGTATCTGCATATGGCAGTGATACCCCGACACGTCTTTTTTGGTCCCGTATCCATGTCAGGTACGTTTTGGGTGCGGATCCATACCCAAACGGCTGGGACACGGCGATTTCACGAGTGAGGGAAAAGAAAAGTTACGAACCTGAAATTTTGAAAATTCGGACCAATCAGGTACGCTATTTGAGCCCAATAACCCAAACCCACTTGAAATACCCAGTCCTCCTTTCCTCTTTGAAGCGATTTTGCCTTACCACGTTAGAACCCATCAATGGAAGCAACGACGGAAGATAGATCTCAAGGCCTCGGGTGAATTGCAGCGCCTCGACGACGGAAATCAGCTCCTCGACGAGGAAATCAGCGCCTCGACGACGAAATCAGTGTCTCTGCTCAAAGAAAAGGTTTGATTTTTAGGGGTTTTAGGGTTTTGTTTTTGTTGTTTCTCCTTTTTCCTTTGAGCAACTGATGAAGATGAACTGAGCAAATTTGGGGCTCGTTTGGCTTTAGGGTTTTTCCTGGACATATTCTCCTTAATAAAGTGTTTAAAGTTAGGGTTGGTTTGGCTTTTCCTGAACAAATTTGGGGGTTGAAGTTTGTTTTCAGTGTTTTTTTATAGGTTTCATTGTTAATGTGTTTTATGTAGTTTCTTATTTATAATCTCCACTTTACATAACAAAAAATATGAAAATGTAATAGATATTTAATTCAATATTGATCTAAAGTTATTTTATATATATACAGCCGTGTCCCCGTACCCTACTTTTTACAAATTTGCTGTGTCCCATACCCGTACTTGTACCCGTATCTTGGCAACATAAGCATATGGTATACATATGCAAAGATGTAGTTTTCATAACTATATATATTCATACCTGTTGAGTTGAACATTGATGTGAATCATATGAGAGGAAAGTAAATCCGAAGACATATCTGATACGTGAGAATTTGATAAAACTCAATGGTCTATGGATTAGTTACAAGTCAGTATCCTAAGGTATGATGTAACTACACATGATCTTGGAGTCTGTATATCTACGGCAATGACCCTTAGATTGTAATTGTAATTACAGAGGTGACCTTGGAGTCTGAACAACAAGCAACTCGTAGGGTTACCCGTGTAAATACAATCAGTAACCTCAGGGTTACCCTTGTAGGTACACAAACTCCAGGGTCACCGATGTAATTACACCTGACCATACCTCGGCTTGTAATTAATCCAAAGTACATATTATATAATACACAAATTTGCAAATAAAATTTCTCAAATCGCAGATCCACTAACACATGAATGTTGGGGATAAAGATACAACCTTTAGGGTTTAATGCGTAAAACCTTTTAGCGAAGGAGAGACAAAACACAAGAATGCCATGTGCCTCTGTGTTTTGATTATACTGGAAGGACCATCACCTCCACTCCACAATACATAATAACTGTAGGCCTCTTTCTTATTTTCTCCTGTCTGTTCTTCTACTGCTGGCTCACTTCACGACCTTGAGGAGTGAGTTCTCTTGCTTCTTTCCTATTAGGAAGTTAGGTAGGACTCATTTTCTCTGTAGTTGGTTTGATCTTAAGCTATATTCTGGAAGTATTCTTGATATCCTGTTGTTTGTAAAAGAAATTTCAGTTTGCTTTGACCTTTTTTTAATTCCTACGAAGGCTACCAATTATATAGCTTTCTTCTCTGAAACTTGCCGATAATTCTTGTGATCATGAACAGGGCATTAACTCAATCAGGTTGACAATGGAACATTTTTTGGGTTAATTTTTTTGAAAATAACCTGTAAATATTTGTTAACATAGAGTATTCCTCCGTAGGTATGAATCTTTTCCTCAGAAATATCTGCCACGAAGTTTTGGTTATTGTGTATTGTGTAATATAACCATATATGACTTATTTGCAGGCCAGTTCCTAATATGAATTCATTGAGAGGGGGATTTCTTAAACGCATAAGAGGGATCTCACTGCAGTCTAGATCACTTGGTAAACTATTACTTTTATCTCTGGATACTTGTCTTGCTTATATCTAGTTGTCATACTCTTTTTATAACTAAACTTTATGACTTTGCTTGGCATTTTCATGTGCATATGATTACGTAATTGTTAATGTTTAAGGGTAAATAAAGTACTTTGGTTGGGTTTTGCATCAAAATGCTGTAATTAGCCTTCTTATGATTTATTTTTATGTTAGGAATATCACTATTACCTAAGCAATTTCCCTTTAAACGGTATCGACTATGAGGCAGATGTCCTCTAAGGATTTTGAAATCGAGAAACAAGTTTAGAATGTTTAACTTGGAATCTTTTGTACATATAGGGCTCAACAGAGTGTTGCAATCATGGTATAGCACCACAACATTTGATGAATCTGATGTAAACAACGAAATAGAGGATGACGATTTTGCGACTGGAAAGAAAGAATTAGAGCCTCAGGGCGTAGACCCCAAAAAGGGATGGAATTTCAGAGGTGTACATAAGGTACTTTTGTTATTTGCATATCTTGTGAAGTTAAAAATGTTGTCTTTGTCATTTGCAGCTACGGTTCATTTCTTTTTCATTCTCTTGAAGGCATTTCGTACTTAGAGTGTCTTTGACGCTGAACAGGCAATCATCTGTGGAAAAGTTGGCCAGTCTCCTGTCCAGAAAATTTTGAGAAATGGGCAAACAGTGACAATTTTCTCTATTGCAACTGGCGGTATGTATGACCAACGAATCGTTGGAGGTGCACACTTGCCTAGACCAGCTCAGTGGCATCGAATTGTTATACATAATGAATACCTTGGAGCATATTCTGTTCAGCAACTGATGAAAGAGTATTTTCTCTGTGTTACTCAACCACTCATTGTTTTGGGGAAAAAATTAGTATTCAAACAATATTAATGCTTTTCACTTAATCAAATTTATTTCTCTCCTTACCCTGACCTTTTCATGCCTTTTGTAGCTCTTCTGTGTTTGTTGAGGGGGACATTGAAACTAGAGTCTACAATGATGCCATCACCGGTCAAGTTAAAAGTGTACCTGAGATATGTGTGCGTCGTGATGGTATGTTAAGAGCATTCCTTTTTATCACAATATAACATGTTGCTACTTGTAAATGACTACATTTTCTTTACTTCCTGGATTCTTTATAGTCAGTTGCATTTAGACATAGAATTTAAGGGGAAGAACGTAATTAATGATGCTGGTTAATATCTACACCAGATGAGTATATGTTCTTCGAAGTTATCCTACAGTGGAATGCTCAACATGTTAGCTTTTTGTTTAAACTACATAATCAGAGGAATGATTTCAGAATGCCAAAATCTTTTAAATGATGGGGAGACTTGTATCTCAGGATGAGAATGAAAAATAATAGCTCCATTTGACAAAGGAGTAGTAAAATCAAATTATTAGTCTATGTAAACTTTCCTGCAATGATCTCAGATCTCATAAAGGAGTTGAATTTTGTGCATTTACAGTCCCTATAAGGCCCAGAGGAGTATCCCATTTTCTGATGTATTTCTATCTTCATGTCTTGTTCTGATAAAACAAATCCATTGAAGAAAAAGCAAGGAAAAAAACTGTGGTATGCATATGAAATTTACATTTGTGGTAAGCAAGGAAAAACGGTGGTAGGTCACTTGAATTTTTCATTTGGAATCTGTTGGCATATTTGAAAATAAGATTCCAATTTGTGGAATAGTCTACTATAATTTACTATCTTTTCAAGATGGTAAGCTTGTCGTAGTTTATATATAAACTAAGTGAAGCATATAATTTCTATGAATAACCTTGCCAACATAATAAGAATAACAAAAACGCCTCTATCCCAATTTTTGGAGTCAGTTACATGAATCCTATTTTTCCATTATATTGCATTAAGGTCCATCTCCTCTGTTAACTATTTATGTATGCTACTTTTATTGCTTCCAACCAGGTTATCATAGATCTACTTCTCCTCCACCTTGCCTTATTAAATGTAATCTTATTGCTTGTTCTAATTGGCGCATTTTGTGTCCTTCAATGCACATGATCAACAATCGCAATTGTTTCTCTTATTTTATCCTCAATATTAGAAAACTGACCTCCTACTAGTGCGCTGTTGTCCTATGATTTCTATCTATTATTGTATGTCCGCAAGTCCATTGTGACATTATCATTCATGCTACACTCAATTTTTGCACTCATTGTTTCTTAATTGCCCAACATTGATCCACAATGTGTTACCCATGTATAATAATTTTACTATTTCATCAATTTATAGGATTTATCAAAGTCTTTACCAATGCAAAGATACACGAAGACTAGGAATGGACAAATGATAATGGCATGGGTTAGTGAAGAAATAGTTACAATAATGGAGCCATATTTGAAAACAAAAAAGAGATGAAAATAGATCCGGTGGATAGGGATTATGTCACGAAAGTCATTTAACACAGTTAGCTCTTAACCATAGTTGTGGGAGAGTTGCTGTCCTTCTGGATGAAAATTATGATATACAAACTTTTAATGGGTGAGGACCTATATTGCTGGTGGGGCCGTGGGGGTGAGGGTGGGGGACAATATCCTTATGTGGATTGTTAAGAATTTATATCCAATTAATTCTTTTTTCTTTTAGGATTGTTTGCGTCGAAAATTAGTTTATTTGTTGAACTCATTACAACTCGTTTATCGAATACAATGAATTCTGAGAAACAATTTTTTTATAAGACTTCTCATTACAAACAAACAACTTCGTAGAAACACACGCATGAACGTTTATCGTTCGCTGCTTGCGTGAGATCTTTGCCTGTGTCGAAGGTGCGTTAGCCCGTGGACGATCGAATCACAGATCCAAGTTGAATCGTGAAGAAGGCTTAAGGTCGATGTTTCATTTTAGAAACAAGGACAAAAGTGAATATCTTAACAAGGTAAGATAAAACACTCTTCTCAAGATCAAGTCAAAACTTAGATCTCGAGGAAACGCCGAAGGCTCTTGGAGATTCTTGAAAACAATGAAGACTCTCTCTTGCTCAAAATTCATCACATTGCTTAAGTCTCTGCTCTCTCTCTTCCTTGGTATGCTCTGTCCTCATCAATAGTGGTCCTAGGGGGTATTTATAGCTCATAGGAGACGTAACTGAAGTCTGGAGTTGAAACAAAATAAGTCGACAAAATCCTTATTTCCGAGACAGTCGCGGCTGTCTCGGAAACATGGTTCGTTCCTGTCCATTTTGTAACTGTTCCCACTACGTTTTAATGCTATTATTTCAACAGTTATTGGCGTGATTTTCGTTTGTAACGTATCCCCCACGATTATGGATGGTCCCCAGCAGTTATGAAGCCACATGGGTTGCCCAAAACTCGAGAAAATCGTCACTAAGTCCACTATAGTTTTTAAGACAGTTACACGTGTCTCGAAAACTATTATTTGCTTTCATAGCTTCCGAGACAGTTACAGCTGTCTCGGAAACTATGAGTCTTCTCATAGCTTCTGAGACATGTTTTGTGCCCCGAAACTTGTATGATGCGCTTCTTGTGCATCCCTTAGTTGATCTTTGGCTTTGGATCTTCTGTAACCCAGATGATGACGTTTATCGCCTTCTTCACCTTGAGCTATGTACGGTAATCCATAGGCAATTTTTGACGCATATAGATTCCCCCTCCAAAGTGTTCCAGTCTCATTTTTTCATAGAGGAGGCTGAAATACTTTGGATATGATACGCCTAGCCTTCAATTCTTTGACTTCTTCAGCTTTCAGTCTATTCAGTATTTTGTCGAATAGCTAAAATTTTTCGGTACTGTGTTTATCGTCTGACCGTTGTCGAAATCTTAAACTGAAGCTGTTGTGTTGATTTGTGAATTAGCTCGTGTTGTTGAATCGACGATGAACTGATCATCTTGGTTGGGAATTCGTATCTGAATTATGATTGAACTCCCAGGGATTATCCTTGGTCTTGGAATTGATCTGCTCCTTGTTTCGACAAAGTTATCGACGTGTTGACTGGCGTCGACCTTCATTGCGATCAAAACACAGTTTATACTCGTACGTTAACTAGAGTCTACACAGTTTAGGCTTTTAAGGTGTTGGAGCGGGGAGAATCAATTTATACTCATGTACTCATTGGAGTTTTTGGGAATCAGTTTAACCTCATGTACTCGTCGGAGGTTCAAAGAAATGCACTTTATACTCGTATACTCATCGCAGTATGGGAAGAGCAAACTGAGAATACATCGGAGGCTCGCCAAGTTGAGCTCTTTGTGCGAGATTTGATTGTAGGACCAGCTGTAGATGCTGATACAACTATTATCTCTGAAGCTACCCCAGACGCTCGAGTTACAAGACCAACTGACGAAGCTGATGCGTCAATGACTATTAAAGCTGATTGAAGATGAGGTCTGTACAAGCTTTATGAAGAGAAGCTCTCCGAGTTAGAAGAGCGAATCCGTCATTACAAGCTGTTCATTATAGGATTTTTGGCAAATCCTCAGCCATTAACGGATTTGATGAGTTTTTATTGACTATCGTTTGAGTTGGGCTAGCATGTAGATTGTCTAAGTCCGTTCTACATATAACGTTGTGCTAAAAGAATGAATTTGTTTAGACTTCGTGCTATGATATTAAATACATAGACTTTATCGTTTTTATGGGAACGCACCACACGATAACGCATGTTAGGCGTATGTTTATCTCTAATTAGGGATCGAGATAATGTCCCCCATGCGTGTAAGACATGGATTTTGGTTAGATTGTCTTCTCTTGGGGCAAAGACGAATCTGGTGCTGGAGAGAAAGAATTTTATATTTTATCTCTAGGTCTTCTCTTAGGGTAAAGATGAACCCGGTGCTGGAGAGGAAGAATCTTATATTCTATCTCCAGGTGTTCTCTTGGGGCAAAGACGAATCCGGTATTGGAGAGGAAAAATCTTATATTCTATCTCCAGATCTTCTCTTGACGCAAAGACGAACCCAATGCTAGAGAGAAAGAATTTTATATTCTATCTCCTGCTACAAAAGAAACTCAAAGCGGGATCTCCACTTCGAGAATCCTGAAGGTGAAATTAAGAGAAGAATCTCCACTTCGAGAATCGAAAAGATCCGGATAATTCTAACTTTTATAGGATTGGTTATCCAAATCTGAAGATGAATTTTTCATTTATCGAGATGAAATTTCGACTTCGGCCCTAACTTTTTAAATATTTGACCAAGCGGGAATTTGAGACGATCCTAATTGTTTAAAGGTTTGATCGTTCAATTTGAATGAACCTCTCGTTCGTAGAAGGAATCGAGAAGGAATTTTAGCTTTGGCCCTAACTATTTAAATATTAGACCAAATAAGAGTTTAATTGTATAAATGTTTGATCGTTTAATTTGAAAGGACCTCTCGTTCATGGAAGGAATCTAGAAGATATTTTGGCTTTGACCCTAACTTTTTAAAGGTTTGACCAAGTGAGAGTTTGAGACGAGCCTAACTGTTTAAATATTTGATCGTTCAATTTGAGTGGACCTCTCAAACATGGAAGGAATCGAGAGGGGATTTTGGTTTTGGCTCTAACTGTTTAAAGGTTTGACCAAGTGAGAATTTGAGACGACCTTAACTGTTTAAAGGTTTGATCGTTCAATTTGAGTGGACCTCTCGTTCGTGGAAGGAATCGAGAAGGGATTTTGATTTTGACCCTAACTGTTTAAAGGTTTGACCAAGTGGGAGTTTGAGACGATCCTAACTGTTTAAATGTTTAATCGTTCAATTTGAGTAGACCTCTCGTTCATGGAAGAAATTAAGAGGGGATTTTGGCTTTGGTCCTAACTGTTTAAATGTTTGATTAAGTGGGAATTTGAGACTAACTATTTAAATGTTTGATTGTTCAATTTGAAAGTGGACCTCTCGTTCATGGAAAGAATCGAGAGGGGATTTTGGCTTTGGTCCTAACTGTTTAAATGTTTGACCAAATGAGTAGTAGGAGCGGGGTACAAATAACAGTGAGAATGTCAATTTGTACAAAATACTCATTGGGGGTTTTAGGTGTCAAGTGATAAGATCCTGACACGGAGGGGTTCGATAATTGCCACGGATCAGTAGATTG